CCTTGACAGATCAGTATCTGATGGTACTTGCGCTGGTCCATTATTCCATCTATTTTGCAAATATCTCCTGTTGTTTCAGCAGACAAACACCCCCAAACCAGCACTATGCCTCCCCCATGCTTCATGGTAGGTACTATGCATTGAGGTAAGCATCTTTCACCTTTCTTCCCCCAGACGTACAACATACGCTTTGAACCAAATATTTCAAACTTGGACTTGTCCATTCATAACACCCTTTTCCTTTCATGAGGAGTTCAGTTTTGTATGTTTTAGCAAATTTCAATCTCTTGAAAATATTTGAAGATTGAAATAAAGGTTTTTTAACTGCTACACGACCAAATATTTCATTCTCTTTGAGTCTTCTTGATACTGTAGATCTCGAAACTTTTCTGTCATTTGGTACATGATCATTTATCTCATGCTTGATGTCAGTGGCAGTCTTCCTTCTGTCCTGAGGGCTGCATAAATGAAGATACTTAACATCAGTGCCATTGAGTTTAGGTGTTTTACCTTTTCTTTTCCCATTTTCAAATTTTCCTGTCTCGGTCTCACTATCTAGAGTGCACTTTACAGTGTTTGTGGAGCATTTCAAGTCTGCAGAAATTTTTTGGAGAGTCTTTTTTAAAGCTTTCTGCTCTACTGGTAATTCTCTGTGCTTTTTTGGGCTATGGCATAACAACAAAACTTAATATATAGTGTTAAACACTGTTTTTATCAAGGTTTATTTGTCGAGTGCTATTGAACTGACTTCCTCTAGCATATACTGGTACCATATGATAGCTCCTTTCTATATAGTTAAAATGCAGCATGGGGTACCATGACAGTTATTTCATACCCTAAGTTTGATCAGTATGTTCATTCAAGCAGAACCCTTATGACATGACCTTGGTACAAGTATATGGGTATTCTAAAGAATGATAAGTATTTTCACCCTGGCTCATTCAATTGTCAACAGGGATCAATGAAGCATTACCATAGTGTTGAAATTTATATTCTGTAATGGCATGGAAGAATTAGCCCCACAAAATGGAAAGAATGATAAAATAGTCTCTTGTCCTAACACTTTTGCACAGCACTGTGTCTGTAGATTGGTTCATAGAATAGTTGGTATACACAAGGTGTTGTAATCTTTATATCTGTAGATTGGTTCATAGAAGAGTTGTTGTAATCTTTATATCTGTAGATATGTCTGTAGAAGAGTTGTTGTACTCTTTATATCTGTAGTTTAGTCTGTAGAAGAGTTGTTGTACTCTTTATATCTGTAGATTGGTCCATAGAAGAGTTGTTATTACACAAGGTGTTGTACTTATTATATCTGTAGATTGGTCCATAAAAGACTTGTTATACATATGGTGCTGTATCTTTCTGTGGGCAGTTTTGTCTATAGAAGACTAGTTATACATAAGGTGCTGTACACTTTATGTGTGCATATTGATCTGTAAAAGATTTGTTCTACACAAGGTACTGTACTCTTTATATCTACAGATTGGGCCATAGAAGACTTGTTATACACCAGTGCTGTAGTTTTTCTGTCTGTAGATTGATTCCCCAAAGGTTTGTTATTCACACTGTGCTGTAGTCTTTCTGTCTGTAGATTAATCCACAGAATGTTTTTTTATAAACAACATAATGTACTTTTTCTGTTGATAGATTAATGAAGAAGTCACAAAATGCTTAGAATTGAAGACTCCATTAAGTGATCATGGTCTTCAGAAATACACCCTTAAAACTCCAAAGGTATTGTTTGTTTTTCTACTAGTGTAACTAAGGTTTCATGAAAGAAACTTTGTATTTCTAACTTAATGAACAGTATTATATGACTTTGGTTGAGTACTGAACTTTTTACTGTAATTTTTTTTGGAAGAATGCATACTTATCCAAAGATAAAAGGCTTTTAAAGTTTAGGAAGAAAACTAATAGTCATATAAATAGCCAAAGATGACAGATGAGATGTAAAGGTAAAAGCATTGATGATCCTGCAAATCAAACTGTACAAAGAATTTCATTTTGATATTAAAATGTTCAGAAACTAAAGCAAGTTTTTGAATGTTATATACTTGAAGAAATTTCATTATTAGCATTTTAATACCTGTAAGATATTAAAAATTTTGTCCAGTATAATTGTTTATAATAAAGGTTTAAAATGTTTAAGTTTTTTTAATGCTGTCTAGGGAACAAAAGACTATGGCCCTCACCAGATGGCAATTAGGGAGCAAGTATTTGATAAAATTATTCGTTGTTTTAAAAGACATGGTGCAGAAACCATTGACACTCCTGTCTTTGAACTGAAGGTAAGTAATTTACAACCTTGTGAATTAGTAACTGAGATTTTAGAAATTTGTTTGTGATGTGTTCTTCCAGGAAGTAATAAGGTCATCTACCAATTAGTGGAAAAAAAAAGCTGGTGTGTTAAGAGTTTGTCTAAATTTTGAATTATACACAAGAAAAACTTTCAGAAAAAAAAGGTAACAAATATTTATTTTCAGTTGGCTTTTTGTGAAGAATTTTGGGGAATATAATTTATATGAAATTTGTCTGACAAAGGTTTTAACAGAAAACCACTGGCACTGGTTCTCTAAGGCTAATGTTTTTTTTCTCATCTATGGTTTCAAGTTTACTGTGGCTTACTGCTCAAGTTGAGTTGTCAAATATTCTCTCATTAAAATCTAAGCTGATTTTCAAGTCATCAGATCTTCCACAATGCCTCAAGGCAACTGGTCATGATATCTTGTCATCAGAACTCATGCAAAACTAAAAGGCAACTGTTTTTTATAGTCATTAGAACTCCTGCACTGCTACATATCAACTGTTCATGATTCTAGCTGTTAGAACTTCCATAATGATAAAAGGCAACTGGTCAAGGCTTATGGTCATCAGAGCTATCACAATACTACAAGGCAACTGGTCATCACTTTTCCACAGATAAGTTGCTGATTGAAAATATAAACAGAATAATAAAGTTGGTCCATTGGGCCAACCCTGTATTGGAGAAGGAATGTTGACTATAATTACAAATATACTGTATGTGTATCTATATGAAATGTGGCAAAGTCTTTTGTACAAAAAAAAAAAAAATCAGATGAGTTATAAAAACTTTTGTACTCAAGGTATGTCTGTGATCTGACAACATTACTCTGATTCAAGTTGGATATTATTTCTCATTTTGGATTATTACATTAGTGTAATGTTGGTTTGATGTTTTCCTATTACTATCAAATCAGTATGATTTTGATTTGATGTTATTCATTTTTCTGGATTATTACATTACTCTGAAGTAACATCCAACTTGTACTGTTTTTATCTGGATTATTACTAATGTGAATTGTTTTAGTCCTAGGGGAAGCAATTACTTTGAAATAATGGGGTCTCTTTGTATTTCTACACAAAATACAAAAAGGTCAAAAAATTTTTATTGTATCATTTAATACTAAATAAATGTAGTAACATTATAATGCATTGTTTTGGCTATGATGTTAACTGTAGTAACGTTTGAATGTATTGCTTTGCCCATGACGTTAGCTATAATAACATTTGAATGTATTTGTTTGCCCATGATGTTAACTGTAGTAACATTTGAATGTATTGATTTGCCCATGATGTTTTCCTCCTTGTATCATAAAGAAATTTTGAAGATAGATAGTACTGTATTCAATTCAAATTGGTGAATTCCATAAAATGGTAATGAACATTTCTACTCACACCACTGCAGGAAACAACATGAATGTTTTAGTGTCAAATTGAAGAAAAATTCAGTACATATTTGTTGTTTCCTTACTAGATTATTACATTATTGTGGGGTACATGTTTGTTGTTTCTTTACAAGATTATTACATTATTGTGGGGGTACAAGTTTATTCTTTCTCTACAAGATTATTACCTTATTTTGGGGTACAATATTGTTATTTCTTTACTAGATTATTACATTATTAGATGTATTAGATTATTAAATTAATTTTTAAAATTAATGCTATCACTACTAATCTTCCTCCGACTGTTGCAAATGGGCTCTTTGTTGATGACTTCCACATCTCATGTCAGACGTCGAGCATGAGGTTTACTGAGCGGCAGCTTCAGACTGCCCTCAATCGGTTGTTGATGTGGACCACTGCAAACGGTTTTACATTTTCTTTTTGCAAAACCACTTGCATGCACTTTTGCCACCAACGGGGTTTCCATCCCAATCCCGAGCTCTTTCTCGGTGATATAGTTATTTGTGTGGTCCCCGAGACAAAGTTCTTGATACTTATCTTTGACCGTAAGCTTAGCTTCATTTTGCACATCAAGCAGCTATGTCTCAAGTGTGTAAGGGCTCTGAACATCCTCCATGTCCTCTCTTCCAGCTCTTGGGGAGCAGATCAATGTTCTATGCTCAGGATCTATCGTGCCCTGATTTGATCCAAACTGGACTATGGGTCTTTTGCTCTATGGTTCTGCTAGGACCTCGGCCTTGAAGATGCTCGACCCTAATTATCCATCTGGGGCTTTGGCTCTGCACCGGGGCTTTTTGCACTTCTCCAGTCCAGAGTTTGAACACTGAGTCCCACGAACCTCCTCTTTACCTCTGTCATTTGCGACATTCTTTACAATATGCTGCCAAGCTTCAATCCTTACCATGACATCGCACCAGGAATTGTGTCATTCTTCCTCGATGAGCCATGCTCTTTTAGAACAGACGGTCTGCAATTCCTCCCTTTGGCCTTCGTATCTGGGCACAACTGGCTGAATTGGGTCTGGCATTGGATGACATTGCTGTCCCCAATGTTCAGCACATTCCACCATGGCTTATTACCATCCCTTCCTGTGACCTTTCCTTGAGTCATCTGAGGAAGGCGGATACTCCCGATTGGAAGTACCGTCTTCTTTTTGCTGAACATCTTTCAACCCATTCTTCTCTTCCTATTTACACGGATGGTTCGAAATCACATGACTCTGTAGGCTCTGCCATGGTTTGCTGTGGCTTGGTAGTTGCTCACAGGATCCCCTCTACAGTTTCTGTGTTCACTGCCGAGTTGTATGCTACTTCTCTTGTCCTGGATCATGTAGAAGCTATGCAGTATAGTAATTGTACTATTTACACTGATTCTCTTGGCTCCCTACTGGCCCTGGAATCGCTTAACATTAGTTCTCACCCTGTTCTCTTCGATATTCAACAAAGATTGGCCCATTTCTCTCTATCTTCTGTTTCCTTCCAGTTTTTCTGGATACCTGGCCATGTTGGTATGCACAGGAATGAGCTTGCCGACACCACAGCTAAGTCCATCTGCTCTTGTGCCATCAGGGCCGTGTCTTTCCCGTATATGGACTATGGTTCTATCTTCAAGGCGCAGCTACGTGACAGTTGGCAGTCGACTTAGGGTGAGCAACATTATAACAAGCTTTTCCAGATCAAACCTTCTGTTGCTCTTTGGCCATCTTGCTTCCATAAGGATCGGAAAGAGGAAGTTGTCCTGGCAAGGCTAAACATTGGTCACAGTTTTTAACTCATCGTTTTCTTTTATCTGGTATTGAACCAGCAATGTGTAGCCTTTGTGACACTCAAGTCACAATAGCCCACATCCTACTGTCATGCCGTCGTTACGACTGTGAGCGGTGGCACCATTTTAGACATGTGTTTTGTAAGAGTTTACCCCTGACATTGAACACTGTCATTGGCGATGGTGACACTGTCCTACTTGGTTTTATTTTTGATTTTTTAAGAACAATTGGTGTTTTTAATTGCATATAAATCTTCTATCCGAATTTTGTACATATTTTAGTTTTAACTCGTTGTGTTTTTACATTTTATTATAGTTTATTTTTTACTGTTTTTGCCTGTTGTTTGACACAGATAGCCTCGTTGCTTTGCACCATAAAACACCAAACAACCAACCAAACAATCTATAGTATATTATTACATTATTGTAAGGTAGAAGTTTTTGTTTCTTTACAAGATTATTATGTTATTTTGGGTTACAAGTTTGTTGTTTCTTTACAAGATTATTAAGTTATTTTAGGTTACAAGTTTGTTCTTTGTTTACTAGATTATTACATTATCATGGGGTACATGTTTGTTGTTTCTATACTAGTTTATTACATTATTATGGGGTACAAATTAGTGATTCTTTGCTAGATTATTACCTCATTATGGTGTAAAAGTTGCTTCATCACTAGATTATTACGTTATTGTAGGGTACAAGTTGTTTCATCACTAGATTATTACATTATTGTAGGGTACAAGTTTTTTGTTTCTTTACTAGATTATTACATTATTGTGGGGTACAAGTTGATTGTTTTTCTAGACTGTTACATTATTATGGGGTATAAGATTGTTGTTTCTCTACTAGTATATTACATTATCATGCGGTACAAGTTGTTTCTTTACTAGATTATTAGATTATCATGGGGTAAAAGTTTGTTTCTTTATTAGATTATTACATTATCGTGGGGTACAAGTTTGTTGTTTCTTTACTAGCTTATTACATTATTGTGGGGTACAAGTTTGTTGTTTTACTAGACTGTTACATTATCATGGGGTACAAGTTTGTTGTTTCTTTACTATATTGTTGTTGCATATCTGCTTGTTTGTTAATTTCCGGTATAAATTCCTTTCGAGTAACTTCAGCAATACAAGTCCTTTTTTAATTAAAATTAGTTTATTCTTTCTCGATACAACAGTCAATATGTTTGCAATCTCGATAACAAAACACACACTTTATATTACCATCACTACAGTCATCTCTCTGTTTTATTTGCTGGGCTTATATACTAAAAAGAGAGCGCCTGGAACATACTACAGTTGCCAGGAAAAGTCACGATCGGTCGAGAATCTCATCACATGTTACCAGCGTCACATGACTTCCGCTGTCGTAACATTATTATATTATCATTAGGTACAAGTTAGTGTTTCTTTGCTAGTTTATTACATTATCATGGGGTACAAGTTTGTATTTCTTTACTAGCTTATTACAATGTTTTCGGGTACAAGTTTGTAGTTTACTAGATTATTACATTAACTTGGGGTACATGCTTGTTGTGTCTTTACAAGATTATTAAATCATCAAAAGGTAGAAGATTGTGTTCCAAAACATTACTATTTCCTTTCATCCAAATCTATCTCAACTTTGATTTGCCTTGCATTGGTGAAATTTTCAGTAGTGGAACAGTCTATTATATTCCTTTTTTTTTCACCATTGCAGAAATATGTGCTCATCATGTAATTACTCTCCATGAATTATAGTGTATCATCACAGGTAGCTAGATCTACCATTGGAGGATAATCCTCACTTTCTGGTTTGGCATTCTAGATGTGTGTCTTAATACGATTTCCATGTGACTAAAAATTTTAATTGTGCTATCACACATTTATATTAGTTTTGACTTCTGGTATTTGATTTGTAATGTTTGTACTCATTTGTCTTAGAAATATTTCTGCTTTCTGAATTTTTCTTTGTTCATATGAATTTGAGATTTAATATAGCGGATGATGAAATTCCCACCATAAATAGACAATGGTTCTGATACTAGTCCTAGGTCTCAGGGGTGCTGATGTTTGTTGGGGAAGCACAGGATTATCTTCTCTGCTTAGTGTTGGGTGCAGTAAATTTGTATACTTCTTTTATCATCTGGGTTAATTTAATTTTAACTTATGTTTGGAGTTTTGTTATTCCTTTGTTTTTGTTTAAAGTTTACTTCTTTTCTATGTTAATGTTACTCAGTTTGTAAGTTCCTTTTACTTTACTACTAGTCACATCTAATTGGGGATTAGTTTTGAGTCAAACTTTGCTATCGTTACTTGGGTGCCTTTTTATTCTTGTATTCTTCAGGGTAGGTTTTAATTTCATGTCCTCTGACTTATAGATTTTTAAAGTAGACTTATTAGTTATATATTTAAGGGTCATTTATTGTCTAAGTTACTTTAGTGATTTTGTGCTTTCAGTTTTACTTATTATTTTATGTTTTTGTTTGAATTTCATAATTTTGCAGGTATGTTATCTTTCTGTACTTTGTAGACTACATGTTTCTTAGTTTTGTTATTTCATTAATAATGAGACCTTTCTCTAAGTATGTTTACTTGATGTACCTTTTTGGCCACACTTCATGACAGTTCTGTCATACTGTTATACAGGGTTCTATCTGAGGGTTTTTGTTTCTGTTTCACTCTTCCTCTATCCACTCCCCATATCTCCTTCCCTTCTTCTTGGGATTATACCTTGTCCAATCGTCTTGCCGAGTCAGTTTAAGACCTACAACACGATAGAGCTATCGAACAAGTGGTGCCTGTTCAACCGTGTTTATACACTCATCTTTGTGTTGTCTTCAAAAACAAGCGAGATTGGAATCCCATCATAGCTCTGTCCTGGCTGTATACTTATTATGAGATGTCCCGCTTCACCATGGTGTCCTACTTCTCACTTCAGTAGGTTTTTCTTCCCCAGTGTCACATTTTTTTTGGGGTTTGTCTACTAAGGTTCTGTCTTCCAGTTATAGGCACTAATGTTCAGTTTTTTTTCAACTCCATATGTGTTTTGTTGAGTAGTATGCTTTTTTGCATGTCGTCTTCACTTGCTGGGTCTTTGGACTATCCAGTCCATGGACGACTGGCTTCTGCTCGCATCTTCCTGTACCCAGTCAATCACTCACACCTGCTTACTTCTTCTAGTAGCTGCTCGCGTAGGGTTTCTCATCAAGTTTGGGAAGTCCTTTACTACCCCCCTCATAGTGTATTATTCATTTTGGAGTTCTCTTCCATTTTGTTATGGTCGAGCCCAGCCTTCTCCACTTCATCTCCACGATATGGAATGGGTAATCACAATAACCCTACTTTCTCCTCTCTCTGCACTAGAGATTCTATCTCTTTTGGAAATGTGGGCTTCCTAGGAAACTCTCATTTCCTTGGATCGGGAAACATTGGATTGAATGCTTCTCGACCAGCGGAACTTCTCCCATGATCCCTTGGACCATCCCCTCTCTCTTTCACCTGGTATCAGGGCCTACCTTGCTTGGTGGCTTGACAGACATTTGACCACACTCAGGATTTCAGTTCCTCCATTTCTTCCCAAGTCCAATCTGTTCACGGATGCTTCCTTGGTGAGTTGTGGCTTTTTCGCCAACTCCCCAGACATTTTGGGTTGGTTGTCAGTCAAGGAAGCTACTCACCATATCCACATCCTGGCAATTCATTGGGCTCTGTATCATTTCCTCCCACTCTTGTGGGGGAGGATGATTATGGTTCATTCTGACAATTCCATTGTCATCAGCTCTATCACCAAGCAAGGGGGAACCCTATCCAGATCTATGTCTTTTCAGATTCCAGATTTCCTTTACTAGGACAATGACCATAACATGACGGTTCTGCCATGTCTTGTTCCCAGAGTAATGAATCTTGTGGCTGATCACTTATTATGTCCCAACCAAGTTCTCCATGGAGTGATCCCTTCATCCTTAGGTATTTTTGTGGGTGTGTTCTCCATTAGGAACACCACATATATGTGTGTGTTTCCCACTCACTTAAATATCAATTTTCAATAGGTACTTACCTCTCCTCACCCACTTCCCACCCCACTGATTTGCCAGTTTCTGGTTTGTATCTACCAATTCTCGAAAATGAGGATTGTGCTGAAATGGTAGAGGGAACTACCTGTGCTAGTATAGATGGCACAGTATGATTGGTGGAAGGTAGTTACATGATAAGCACATGTTGCTGCAATGGTGCAAAAATGAAGGGGTATAATATACTGGTGTGCTATTGAAAATTTTAGCAATGCTTAGAGGGCTAATCAAGGTTGAGATAGCTTTAGGTTAGAGGAGGTAAGTACCTTTTGCAAATACATTTTCAGTATTAGAAAATGTTAACTTTTCTTTTCTAAATTAGTATATTATCATGAACTACATGTTTGTGTTTTCTTTACTAGATTAGTACATTATGGAGTACAAGTTTGTGTTTTCTTTACTAAATTATTACAGTATCATGGGTTACAAGTTTGTTTCTTTACAAGATTATTACATTATTGTGGGGTACAAGTTTGTTTCTTTAAAGATTATTACATTATTGTGGGGTACAAGTTTGTTTCTTTAAAAGATTATTACATTATTGTGAGGTACAAGTTTGTTACTTTACAAGATTACTATATTATTGTAGGGTACAAGTTTGTTTCTTTACAAGATTACTATATTATTGTAGGGTACAAGTTTGTTTCTTCACTAGATTATTACATTATCATGGGGTACAAGTTTACTGTTTCTTTACTGTATTATTACATTATTGTAGGGTACAAGTTTGTTTCTTCACTAGATTATTACATTATGATGGGGTACAAGTTTACTGTTTCTTCACTGTATTATTACATTATTGTGGAGTACAAGTTGGTTGTTTCTTTACTATATTATTACATTTTTGTGTGATACAGGTTTGTTGTTTCTTTACTCTATTATTACATTAGTGTCTTCTAGTTTTGCATTTTGGTTTGCCTCTATCTATCAGTCCCAATCTTGTGCACTGAATATCTCAAGATTGAAGGAATGGATTAATTTTGACAAAACTTATTCAACAGGTATTACAAACAAATTTCTAGACCTGATTAGCACTTGAAGGTCAAAGTGAAAAGGTCACTTGTACATTCTACCCCAGTCTTGTTGACAGGTAGTACATAGGGGAGCATTAACATACAGCAAAACATTAGTGGAGGCATAGGTGTTTCATAAGTACAATCTGCACTTACTTGGTGTTATTTATTTCAGGAATTATTACATTAGTATGATACTAATCTGACATTACTTCTTTTATGGATTGTTATATTTGCATGGAAATAGTTGTTTTGTTTTTTCTTTCATGGAGTATTGAGGGTTAAGTAATTGATATTAATATGATTTTGGAGCCTCACCACGTTGTTAAGGTCTGTGTTGCCACATCCACTCATGCCATATCTGAGAACTGTGCCTCTTGACAATAGCCTTGTGACATTGTTTCCATTGCATAAGGCTCTGTCATAAGGATATCATGTCCAAACACAGCATTCTTCACTGCATTCTCCCCTTAAACCCTCCTCTGTATGAAAACGACAGTTTTCCAGTGCTTGTTTCAATAGTCTTATTGTATAGAAGCCCTCTGATACTGTGTCCGGCAGCTTGTCCAGTATGTCTTTGTATGGATTAACATGAATACCTGTTTTTTTCTCCAGTTACTTGAAGTATTCAGTGATTGACTGGGAGTTATGACTAAAAGTCTTGACTTGCTAAACCCATACTCTATTGTCCTTATTTCCAGGTGGGGATTATTTTTAATTATGTTGGATACTGTTACCTAGGATATGTGGATGGCTCTTTTCACCGACCTTTTGTGTTAGTGGATTTTCAGCTGTTACAGGATGGTCCTGGGGCCCCAGTTTGATCCATATTTCTTTGCTTTCCGGTGCCATTGCATACTCTGAATATCCCTGTCATAGAAAACCTAAATCCTCAATCTGAACTCATTCTTATGACCCAACTGTATGAATATTTTTCTGTAAGAAAGAGCTGTTACATAACCTTTCAAAAACAATCAATTTCTGTGGCATCACACTATGTATGAAATGGCAGACAATGCCAAAATATAGTCCTAGTTCTGATACATTTTATTCCATTTTGATTTTATATATATCACCTGTAGTTGTTATGTGACTTTCTGGTTTGCATATTCAAAATAATTTTAGTATAATAACATAATCAGCCTTGTATTGCATTAGTTTTTGTATTAGTTCTATATTAACTCTCTTTGAAATGCAATAATAAATGATCTTATTTTAACTTATTTGTATTATAGTTTTTCAACATGTACTTTTGTCATGTGGTTTTGGGAAAAACTGTATTTGCTATTAGAAACTAATGTAGCAAAAAATCAAAATAATCTGTTTAAGATATGTCAGAAATAAATACTTGTAATGTTACTGTTTACGTATATATGATTACCATTAATTATTATGCTCCCACACAACTAAAATGTTATAAAGGTTTTCCTTTACTTACTATAGGAGAATCTTACCGGAAAATATGGAGAAGACAGCAAACTTATCTATGACTTAGCAGACCAGGGTGGTGAAGTTCTGTCTCTTAGGTATGATCTGACTGTACCATTTGCTCGTTACCTAGCAATGAATAAGATCACCAGTTTCAAAAGATACCAGATTGCCAAGGTTTACCGGAGGGATAATCCTGCCACAAGTCGTGGGAAGTATAGAGAATTTTACCAGTGTGTAAGTGTCTGATATAGATATAATGATAGGGGACTTAACTTGAATGTTAATATGGCTGTCATCAGTTGTGAAAGGTATAGTCTTGAGAAGTTTACCATTATGTAAGTGTCTGATCCTGCCATAAGTTGTGGGAGGTATAGTATAGAGAATTTTACCAATGTGTAAGTATCTGATCCTGCCATAAGTCGTGGGAGATATAGTCTAGAGAATTTTACCAATGTGTAAGTATCTGATCCTGCCATAAGTCGTGGGAGATATATTCTAGAGAATTTTACCAATATGTAAATATCTGATCCTGCCATAAGTTGTGGGAGGTATAGTCTAGAGAGTTTTACCAATGTGTAAGTATCTGATCCTGCCATAAGTCATGGGAGATATATTCTAGATAATTTTACCAATATGTAAGTATCTGACCCTGCCATGAGTCATGGGAGATATATTCTAGAGAATTTTACCAATGTGATGACTTCTTCACATGTGCACATGGAAGATAATGCTTAGTCATAGTAAGTTATTCCTTGTACACATCCTTATTAAGGTTTAGTACTAGTTCTTACTCCTTAACATGTCCACATAGAAGATATTGTTTTGACATTGTTTATTTCTCCATAACATGTAACTCAATGGAGTTAATGTTTTGATGTAGTTCATTACTCCTTTACATGTACACATAGAAGATAATGTTCAGTTGTGGTTAATTATTCTGTAATATGTACACATGGTGGATAATGCTTCAATCTAGTTGTTTTATAGCATGCATACTTAGATGTTCATGTTTGGTTCTCTTTCATTATCCCTTAACATGTACACATAAGAATTAATATTTTGATAACATTTATTCTTCCTTAACTTATACACTTTTGATGATGATGTTTTTACACTGTACGTTAGCCCTTCATGTGTCCATTTCTTGCTTAATGTTATGTGATAGTTTTTAATGCATAATGTGTACCCGTGAATGGAAGTATTTAGTTATTGACTATTACTACTGGACAGGTCAGACATAGACTATACTATATTGTTATAGTTCGTTACATCTTAATATTTACATGTAGTGAATCATGTTTCATTCTTGTCCACTGCTCCTTAACATATTCCTATTGTCTATAAATATTAGATCTGGTTCATTACAAATTTGCGTACCATAAGCAGATAGGGTTTACTTATTAACTTTTATTCCTTACAGTGTCACCCTAGTAAATGTTTAAATGGGGCTCCTTACCCTGTGAAATGTACTCTTAGCAGTTAATGGTTAATATTTTATTGTTTCCTTACACATATCTAGAAGATAATGTTCACACTTGGTTTTGAGCCTATATCATTCGAATGTGTTCATCACCTGTCATGTTTTGAGGGCACTGTACTTTGTTATAGGCTGTCTTCTTCACAGTACTTCTTCCTACCCAGATATTGGTTTCTCACCCAATTGTCTTCCATTATTCTGCTTTCTCATTATTCCTTCTCCTTTTGTTACCTTACCACCCCCTCTTTGCTATCTTCCTTTATTCTGATTCCTCTGCCTCATTCTTCAACCCTAGCTACCTATGCCTTCAGTCTGACCTGTCCCATTCTTTTTTTTACCATGCATGTCCTCCTCTTCATATCCTTCTTCAGGCACCTGCTCAGTTGTGGGATACCCCTTTAGAGAGTCCATTCAGTGACCCCTCACAGTCTTCTCAACCTTGTTTTTATTACTCCTTACAGGGTCCATTCAGTGACCCCTCATAGTCTTCTCAACCTTGTTTCAATTACCCCTTACAGGGTCCATTCAGTGACCCCCTCACAGTCTTCTCAACCTTGTTTCTATTACTCCTTACAGTATACATTCACAGGCTTCCCAACCTTCCACCTTGTGAAGTCTCAGCCTTAGCTTCTTTTTAAACTTTCCATCCCTTTTGATCCACACCCCCCGAAACTATCCTTTTGTCCCACTCCTTTCACCCCTATTCATCCATGTGTCATTGTATGGAATGTGATTTTTACCTGGGTCTTTTTATCTACATTTATCATTGACTTCATTACATCCTTTTGTGGGATGGTTCTTCCATGATCTGTAAGTCTCTTCTATCTTGGCTTTTCCTGATGTCACAATTTCCCTTCTTTTCTGCTTCTATCTACCCTCTTTCATTCCTTCCTTATCCACTGCCCCCTTCCTACTTCTTGCCTGATTGGATTGCCATTGTGGTTCTCCATGCTCTTAACCTATTCATCCAGATTTTTCTGCTCTCCTTGGACACATGTTCTAACTGTAGTTGCCTTTGTATTCATTTTTAATTGCTATACCCTTGTTTCCTTCTTCTTTCACATTCCTGCTCTTTCTTTGTCCTGGCTGGTCTTTCTTTCCCTTCTATCCTATAGCAGGGGTACATGGTCACACCTTTTCTCCCATATACCTCCTTTCCGTTTCTCTTTTTGGTGTTCTTTTCATTCCGGTCAGATGCTCTTGTCCTGTCTGGGCCATATAGTGTTTTGTCACATCCTCCCTCCATGTGGTTCCTCTCACTGTCTTTTCATATCTGGGGCACCTCCTTTACCAGGGTCCTATGTTCTTACCCTTTTATGGGTTGAATCTGACAGCTTTTCTCCTTTTTCACCATACTGGCCTGTGGACTATCACACAATCTTTCATCTCACATAATGATGACATGCTGCAAAGTGAAGTATGTTATATAACTCTTATTATATTTTGTTTCAATAATAAAACAAGTAGATAAAATTGTTTAAACTTGACATAAAAGTATGTAGTTTGAAAAATGAAATATTTAACTTTGGTTTTTTTCAACTATTTCTTATAAAAATTCATTATTTGATTTAGTTTTTTGCACTCAGACTTTGAATAGTTCCTTTGCAGGGTGATTTTCATTTCGAGTATAAAAATGCTATTTTTTATCTTACAGTTTTCACATTTCACTTGCATAATCTCTAGAACCTCCTAAATGAATATCAAAAGTTTCTTTAATGTGAATGTTTATATTTTATTTTCCATTTTCTCTACCATATAACTAATTATAGCTGTTATCATCAATGTACAGTGAAATAAATTGCTTAAAATTAAGAAATAGAAATATGTACATGCCTTTTAACTCTTTGTTAGATAATCTTCAAATATCTTCTTTGGGCCGTATGTGCAATTTCACATCTTTTCATTTTCACTTATAGTTTATTCTTAATGTTTTATTTTACTTTCCTGTTCTTTACCATTGATTATATATGTTGACATACGCCAACAGGTACCTACTAGCAATAGCATGGCATGAACAACAGAGATACCTTAGCCTCCAGGAATGTCTTTTTATACACACTTGGTAATACTGTAATGAGGGGAATGCAGAATGAGGGGAAGCTTTGGTTATTTTATAAAAATTATTAAGCCTTTCAAATATGAATTTTAAAACACAAGTAATGCATAACTAACTAAAAGATAAAAGTAAACCCTAAATACAATTTAATTTCTCTCTCTAACTATAACATATTTAGGTAAGAAACAACTGAAGTGCTATCATGAACAAAGCAGCCAATAATAGTAAAAGTGGTCACATCTACTCAAGAATGACAACTTGGTGCAAATTTCAAAATAACCATTGCTAGATTACAGTGTCAAATGCGCTCTTTCTAATGACTATAAACAAATGTTGAAAGTACCTGTAACTTTTAAAGCTCAATGTTAAACTACAGAAGGTGGGCATGGCACCTGTCATGAGTTGGCAAAATGTATTTCTTGTTTCAACTGCATTCAGTGAAAGTACTTTGAATCACACATGTCAAAAGGGCAAGTAAACTATATTCTAATAAAATAAATTACATCCGCTTCTTGTCACAGGTTCATCTACCTTCCACTTATCTTCATGAGTTACAGAGGGTTCCTTTTCTCCATCAGTCTGTTTTTGGGGTTTTCCTCAATCTTAGGAATCTGAGACCACTTTAGACCCTTTAGTCTTTGGTTGCTTGTTTGTCTCATTCTGATCCCATGACCTCTCCCATAATTGTTTCTTGTCCTGCAACCTTCCATTCTTTACCAGTTCCTACTATTAGGGATTAAAAATTTTGCTGTGTGTCTCAACGTTAGGTTCATCATCACTAGCAGTTCCAGTGTCCAATGGGAACACGTTTGGCCATTTTGTTCTCCTGTGGCAGATATTCACTATCGAATCTTAGGTGATCCAAGTTTTGTCAGAAGGAATTTTCATCCATTTACTTTCCCCACCACCGTTATCTCATGTATCAACTTCCTTCCCATTAACTATGGATCCCACTACCAGTCTACGTCTATCTGTGGCTGTGTAGACCCTTCTATCACAGTTCTGTTGAGCCTGTCAGTTATCCTTTTTCAGATTTATACTCCAGGCATTTTGTTTTTCTCAAAACAAATCAGGGGACTGGCATCCTGTGATCCTTCTGTCCTGCCTCAACCAATTTCTGGATCTTCCCCCGATTTACCATGGAGTTCTTTATCACATTCAGGTGGGTTTTTCTCCAAGACTTTGGATGACCATGGTAGATGTATCAAATGCCTTTATCTATATTCCTATTTCTCATTAGTTCAGATGCTATCTTCCATTTGTCCACTATGGGGTTGTGTATCAGTTTCATGCCTAGCCTTTTAAGCTTTGTCCAACTTATGCTTGCTCATGGGTTGCATTTACACAAATACATTGTAGAGTGGCTCCTGTTAGCTCATTCCAAAATGGTGTCTTTTTGACACACACATATCTGTTGCTGCTAGATGCAGCTCATGTTGGTTGGATTCTGAAGTTGGAGAAGTCTTTCCTTTTGCCTACCTAATATCTTATCCACTTGGTTGTATTTTTCAACACCCTCCTCATTGGAATCCAACCTTCTTCACATTGTATCCATTAGATGGTGCTTTCAGTTCTCCATGCACTTCCTGCTCCCTCTGTTTCTGCCTGTGAGGTTCTATAGCTTTGGGGGACTTGGGCTTTTCTGGAAGCCCTTATTCCTTTGGGATAGACACATAAGCATTTTCTTCAGTGGACTTTGGTGGATGAACAAAGACAACACAATGACAAGAGTACTGCTTCCTCCACCTCATCCGGATTTGCATCTGCTCACAGATACTTTTCTTCAAGGTTGGGGAATATGGATACATCAGCAGGAGGCTTCCAGAACGTGATCCACATCAACATCTAAGAGCTCCTGATAGTATGACATGCTTTAGTTCATTTTCTTCCTCTGGTAGTGAGATGATACATCATGCTCCATTCTGAAAATTTCACCGTTGTAGCCTATATCAATCAATAAAGGGGCACTTGTTCCTGTTTCCTTTGTGGTCAAACTTTAAAACTCCTTTATTGGGCCCACACACTGCAGAAGATAATTCTCCTTGTGTGTCATGTTCTGGGTGCTTTTCATCGTGGGGTGGATTGTTTTTCAAGACCCGAACCAGGTTTATTCCACAGAGTAGTCTCTTGACCCTCAGGTTTTCAGGTGGTTATGCAATCAGTTGAGTGCTCCTCATCTGGATGCTTTTACCACCATTCTCCAACACCAAGTTCCCTCTTTTTTTTGTGTTCCCCAATTCCTCATCCTCAGGCCCTGGCAATTGATGTTCTCCATCAGGACTGGACTAACTGGTACCTTTTGTGTTCCTTTTTGTAGACCTCTTCATCGTGCAGTTCTTCTGGATTGTAATGTCACTATTGTTCTTCACTGCCTTTCACTCTCTCCATTTGAACTTTGTCCTCTTGTTCCATGTTTCACCTATCCTTTCAGAGTTATTCTTACTACTATCAGTCTGTGGGCATTGTCACTACACTAATTGGCCATAAGACATCTTGTAAGTGAGTACTTGGATAATCATGTTCCTATTCTGCCCGTCTTTGTAAAACCATGCAGAAACTTTGCCCCTTCTAGTTCTGCTCTTAAGCAAAGAGTATATCCTGTATGAGATGAGATGCACTTTCCAACAGGTGTGCCCCTATGGAGCCCTTGCCATACAGTTTCCCACTCCATCAGCTTTCTTCTTGCTAAAGGAAGCTCATATAGGTAAATTTTGCACTGGATCTTTCACCATCTCAACATGGGATTATAACTTTTTGTGTACACAACGTGGTCACAAGTAAATAGACACCATCTTTTCAGGAAAAATAAAATTTTTCAGTCATATTCACATGAATTGATA